TCAGTCTGGGCGACAGAGTGAGACTCCAACTCAAAAAAAAAAAAAAGAAACACCTGTTGAATGAATGCGCGAGATGTGGCCTCAGCAGGGCATCCTAGTGTCTGGCTGGGTTTCCAGCCTGACCCCCATCAGTGTACTTTTCACATAGCTGGAATATCAGGCATTTATGAGACCATGCGCCTTCTGACAGCTGTGTTCTAAAACAACGCTACTTGATTTAGAAGCTGCAGGGAAACTTAACTGCACAGGCTCTGGAGGGTATTATTGCAAATGGATTAAAGTACAGACTTTCCAGTCAGGCAAGTCTGAGTTTAAATCAAACCACTGCTACTAAGAAATTGTATCCTTGGATTGGTTTGTTATTTTTCTTCAGTCCAAAGGGGAGCATAAGAAAGTATAGAGGCTGGGCATGGTGGCTCAAGCCTGCAACCCCAGCACTTTGGGAGGCTGAGGTGAGGGGATTGCCTGAGTTCATGGGTTCAAGAACAGCCTGGGCAACTTGGTGAGACCTCATCTCTACAATAAATCAAAAAATTAGCTGGGCATGGTAATATGCGCCTGTAGTTTTGGCTACTTGGAAAGCTGAGGCAGAAGGATCGCCTGAGCCCAGTGGGTTGATGCTGGGGTGGCTGTGAGCATGCCACTGTACTACAGCCTGGGCAATGGAGTGCGACTCCAATTCAAAAAAAAAAAAAAGTATAGAATAATGTTCTGTACTGTTGCCATTTTGTAACTGTCAGACAATAGCTGAGAATGTGTCTAGCTCACACACACCTCTGTTGGCAGAGCCAGGAACTGAAAATTTGGTTTTCTGACCCCCAATCCATCCGTGCTTTTTCAATTTACCAACTCTAAAACAGGGAAGCTGGATTTGCAGTCTGTGGTGTCTGTGTCCAAGCCCTGGACAGAGAGTGTTTGCAGGGGCAAGCAGAAGACACAGAACACTGTCCCTGGCTCCTGGCTCCGGCAGTAGGTGCTGGGATCAAGGCAGAGGTTAGCAGGGACTGCCCAGCCAGAGGAGCCCTCAGGGAAAACGAATTGTGTTGTCCAGCCTCCACGAGAAGCCAAGTCCAGACCTCACACCATTAGCCGAGGAGCAGGGCAGAAGCAGAGTAGCCCAGAGACCCCAGAGAACCCTCTTCCCCTTATTCACTCAACAACTATTGATTGAGTTCTGACCCTGTGCTACTTTGGATGTATGAGTGAATAAAACGAAGATTCCATCCCTCAAGGACCGTCCTTTCCAGACTTCTCCCAGGACAGTCCCTCTGACCTCGGGCCCATTTTACAGATAATAGACTGAGACCTTTAGCATTCGGGCCCCCTTCTCAGCAAGGAGGGGAGGGGTTTGACCTGGGTGATCCCTAAGTCCCTTCCAGTTCTGAGGGCCCTACTATTTACCTAGGAAATGCCAGTGAGGCCAGCGCCACCTTGCTAAATCTCACTCTGAAACCTCCAAGGGACCCATCCAAGGGCGGAGGGGCCCAGAGTGTAAGTGTTAGCCAAGCAAATTGGCCACTCCCATACCCCACCCCCGCCAGGAGCCTTTCCCATGAGCAGACAGTCAGGGCCCAGGAGGGACAGACAGCAGCTGGAGTGGGTGGGCCAAGTTCTCACCTGCGCATCTTCCCGGGCCTGGTCCCGGTTTTCTCCGCCCTCCTCACGGTTCCCCTGCAACAGGAATAGGGAGAAAGCTCAGCCTCAAACACTGTCCACCCCTGTCCCTGAGCCACCCCCCTCCTACTCAGCCACTTCACCCGTGAACACTTCTCTTCTCCTGCCAGAGGGTGACTGCTGTGGTCGTTAATGGAGGCATTTCTTTTTTTTTTTTGAGCTGGAGTCTTACTCTGTCACCCAGGCTGGAGTGCACACTGACACGCTCACGGCCACTGCAGTCTCAACTTGCTGGGCTCAGGCGATCCTTCCGTGTCAGCTTTCCAAGTAGCTGAAACTACAGGCATGAGCTACCATGTCTGCCTTGTTTTTTGATTCATTGTAGAGACAAGGTTTCATCAAGTTGCCCAGGCTGGCCTCAAACCTCTGAGCTCAGGCAATTCTCTCGCCTCAGCCTCCCCAAGTGCTGGGGTTATAGGCTTGAAACACTGCGCCCGGCCTGGTGGAGGCATTTCTAAGGCATTTAGCCCAATGCTGACACATGGCGAGCTCTTGCTAACTGTAAGAAATCCTGACACGGGGCTATGGGAATTCAAGAGATGGGGGCCAGGCACAGCGGCTCAGGCCTGTAATCCTAGTGCTTTGGGAGGCCGAGGTAGGAGGAGTGCTTGAGCCCAGGAGTTTGAGACTACCCTGGGCAACAAAGTGAGACCCCATCTCTCCAGAAAATAAAAATTATCCTGGCACGGTGGCACACCTCTGTAGTCCCAGCTACTTGGGAGGCTGAGGTGGGAGGATCCTTTGAGCCCAGGAGTTGGAGGCTGCCATGAGCTGTGATCATGCCACTGCACTCCAGCCTGGGCAACTAAGTGAGACTCCAACTCAAAAAAAAAGAATGGTGGTGATGGCAGCTACCAGGTAACAACCCAGCCCAGGAGAGGAGTCACCCATGTGGCATTGTCCTGTGAGCTGGAGGCCCAAAAAGTCAGGCTGAGGGCCACGATGGAGGGCTGCCCAGAAAAGGCAGCATCAAGCCAGCTTTGACAAGTGAACAGCAGGTGGGCAGTGGGTGGCTAACGAGGTCAGTGAGGAGACACCCTCTCTTCGTCAGGAGTGGGCTTCTGACTTGCCTGGCCCTTCCACTCAGGACCGTTTCCCTCCTCCCAGGTCAGAAGAGGCGCAAGCAGTCCTGTGCCCATGACTTCACTCACCGTGGCCAGAGAAATGAGGATCCTTCTGAAATGGCCAGATGTGTCTGAGCTCAGGGCATCCTCCAGGGACTTGTGATAGTCTGAGACAGAGAAGGGGGTGTGGACAGCTGCCAGTTAGGAAGTATTTGGTGGTGGGGTGGGGGTGGGGGATGGGAATGGAGTTCCAGAAGCTTTGACTTGAGCCAGGGCAGTGTTGGCTGGGGAAGCGGGGCTGAAGGGGTTGTAGTTGGTTCTTGGAGGCACTCAACCATCCTCCTGCTGGTTCTGTAAGACAGCCGGCACTCCATCATTCCCCTCTTCCCTATCCCTTACACTGTCCTGGTTGAGGTCCCATCAACCCATCTCACCCCCACCATTCAACAGCCTCTTAAGTTACCTCCCTGTCTTCACTCTCTCGTCTACCCTCCCTCCTGCATGGAGTTCCTAGACCCCAAAGCACAGCTCTGACCACAGCACTCCCCTACTAAAAATTCTACCATTTCAAAGTTGCTCACTAGAGAAAACGTTTAAACATCTTTGCCCAGGACTCAAGGTTCTTCAGAACGAAAATGAGGCCACTTGTCAAAAAATTAAGAATTTTGGCCGGGTGCAGAGGCTCACACCTGTAATCCCAGCACTTGGGGAGGCCAAGGCTTGAGTCCAGGAGATTAAGACCAGCCTGAACAACATTGCAAGACCTCATCTCTATTTAAAAGAAAATTTTTGTTTGGTGGGCTCGGTGGCTCAGTCTGTAATCCCAGCACTTTGGGAGGTCGAGGCGAGTGGATTGCCTAAACCTGCAGGTTCGAGACCAGCCCGGGCAACTTGGCGAGACCTCGTCTCTACAATAAGTCAAAAAAATTAGCTGGGTGCAGAAGCTCATGCCTATAGTTTGGGCTACTTGGAAGGCTGAAGCAGAAGAATCGCTGGAGACCAGGTCAACGCTGGGGTGGCCGTGAGCGTGCCACTGCACTCCAACCTGGATGACGGAGTGAGAATCCAACTCAAAAAAAATATTAAGACTTTCAAGGCAAGCTGGGCTCGGTGGCTCAGCCTATAATCCCGCACCTTTGGGAGGCTGAGGTGCGTGGATTGCCTGAGCCCGCGGGTTCGAGACCCACCTGGGCAGGCGAGACCTCATCTCTACAATAAATCAAAAAAAATTAGCCAGGCGTGGTAGCATGCGCCTGAAGTTCCAGCTACTTGGAAGGCTGAGGCGGAAGGATCGCCAGAGCCCAGCAGGTCGAGGCTGCAGTGGCCGGGAGCGGCCACTGCACTCCAGTCTGGGTGACAGTGAGATTCCAACTCAAAAAAAAAAAAGACTTTCAAGGCAGTCAGTCACAGTATTGGTGCAAGCATCCTATGGGGCCCTTCTGGGGGTGGGGCCCTACAGAACTACACAGGCTACATGCGTCTCAAGTATCCCTCTCTCTTTCCAACAGGCTGGGATATTCTCTCTTCCCACTTCCAGCCAACCTCTCTTCTACCTGCAGACATTTCTCCTTCCAGGATGCCTCTGTCTTTCTCCAGACACAGGGCTGGGCATACCCAAGAGGCTTATTGAAGCCTCCTGGACTGAAAGAAAGGAGACCAGCCAGAGCTGTGAGCTCAGGTTGGAAGCTGGAGCCCAGTCCTTCTCCTCCCAGCAGCACTGGGCCTGGGATCCCCCACACTCACCCTCCTTGTAGGCTTCGTTGATGGCCCGGATTTCGGCATTGTTCCGAGTAGCCAGGATTTCAATGAGAGTCTTTTCATCTGTGCCGGCTCCCTAGGATGTCAAAACAGACAGTCATCTCAGCCACGGATCTGAACCTGTACAGAGGTCCAAGGGACCTAGGCCAGCGAGACACCTGTTTCTAGAAATCACCCAGGAGGCTAAAAATCAGGCCAAGCCTTCCTGGACTTTCCCCCTCACCTCCAGAACAGCCCTCCACACCTACAGGGCCAAGTATGCCAACCTCTCATGATCCTCAGAGCCTCCCACAAGGATTGCTTTGGGCCAAAAAAGGGAAAAGATAGATAGGTATATGAGTATAAAAAAACACATACATATCTGAATGTAAATTTTCTTTGTGAGCCAGGGTCTTACTCTTGTCTTATCGCCCAGACTAGAGTGCAGTGGCACAATCATGGCTCACTGCAGCCTCAACCTCCTGGGTTCAGGTGATCCCTCCACCTCAATCTCTTAAATAGCTGAGACTGCAGGCCCACACCACCATGCCTGGCTATTTTATTTATTTATTTTAACTTCTTAAACTATATTTGTAGAGACGAGGTCTTTCTACGTTGCCCAGACTGGTCTCGAATTCCTGGGCTCAAGCGGTCCTCCCTCCTTGGCCTCCCAAAGTACTGGGATTACAGGAGTGAGCTACTGGGGCCAGATGAATGTAAATATTTACGTGCAAGTATATAAAAAGAACAGAAGGGTATGCATATGCCACTGTGTTCACTGGGTCTCTGGGTGAGGACCACAGATGAGTGCTACTTTCTTCCTTTTTTGATGTCTATATTTTCTCAAGCTCTCACAGTGAATGTGTATTATTTTGTCATAAGAAAACAAAATTTTGTGCTTCAAGATAAAAACACGCCACAATTATTTTTATTTGGTTTTGAGGAGTACCCTGTGGATGAGATATCAGGTCCTCTGGGCTGTGACAGGCTAGGGACCTCCATGCAGGGCAGCAGGGAGGCTGTGAGGGAGGGGAGACAGACAGATTAGACCCTGGATTCACTGACTGATCACTCTTTTGAATATATGATAAGACACCTGTCAAATGCCAGCTGCTAGGCACGGTGCAGGGCTATGACTACAAGACAAGGCAAGACACATTCTCTATGCTCAGCTAGTCCTGGGTTCCTGAGATCTGGGGAGACTGATCCTGACTGAGATCCCCAGTAGTCTCTGTCGGAAGCAGTCATGTGGTGAGGAACCTGGGAGTCCTGAGTCCCCAGGGCCTAGCCCCATCCTGTTTGAACTCACAGGTCCTGAGCCTCCCTCGCAGACTGTGAGCAGGGAAAGGGCTGGGTCAGGTTAGTTCACGGGTCCCTTCTATCTCCATAAAGCAGGGACAGAAAAGTTATGTCATTGGACCATTTGCTTTTTCACTTAGGGAATTTTTAAAAGCAATCATCTCAGTTGACTTTGCCAGGGAGATACTTTTTAAAGCAGTCCAGTTCTCTTTGCTGGTCTCTTAATCCTCAAGGGGCCAAAGGTCTTGATGGGTTCACATGGTTGTCAAGATAGACAGGCTCTAGAGCCAGGCAGACTTGGTCTGGACCCCAACTTTGCTGCTTCATAGCTCTGTGATCTTGACCAAGGAACTTAACCCTCAAGCCTCAGTTTCCTCACCTGTAACATGGGGACACAATAAGAACCTTGCCTTATGCTTTGATGAGACAACCAACTGAACCAATGTACTTAGTGCAGAATAGCCACCATGGTCTCCCCATAAATAGGAAGTACTAGTGTGACTGGTGCTCTGGGAACAAAGTCACTCCCGTGGTAACCGGGCCAGGACATAATGCTCTTTCTTGCTCATTTGCAAGGTCGGATCTTCAGAGTTAATAGTGCCCTCCATACCTGTGACCTTGCTGTGCCTGTCCCAGCTTGAAGGGCAGAGATGACAGTTTCTGTTTCACAGATGAAGACACAGAGGCTTAAGTTAAGTAAAGGCCCCCATCACACAGCAAGTATGTAAAAGGGCTGGACTAGAATACAGACGTCAACAGCTGTGGTTTTCCGTCCAGATCTACCCGCTTCCTCTAGCTACTCCATGAGACCCTTAGAACCCTCTGGCTACCAGGCATGTGTCTCAAGTTGATTCAACCAGAGGAGATGAGATGCCGAGATTCTTGCTGGCATCCAAGAAGAAGGTCGCTGATAGGATGCACGTGGTTACCCTGCCACATTGGGAAGAAAGGCTGCCTGCCTGTGAAGTCACCGCAGAGGACAACAGAGCCTTGGTAGGGGAGAGTCACAGCAGTTAAGAGCCACGAATGCACAAACATCATGCTAGTCTCTGGGTTGAGCCACATCTAAACCAGGTCTTGTCCTGTAGCTTTCAGTCTTAGGAGCCCAAACCCCCTTCTGTGTTTACACCAGTTTGAAGTGGGTTTAGGAAAGTTTTACCAAGCAGTTACAACTGACCCACTTGGGCTTAAGAAGAGCTACTGGCCCCTCTAGCACCTGCACAGACTGGACCCCACCCCTCTGGTGCCATATGTACCTCCATTGCCTTCTTCAGCTGCTTGGCATCGTAATGGGCCGGTGGCATCATGAGCCCCAGAATCAGCCTCGCCAGGTCTCCAGAGATCTCAGACTTCAGGTCAGCCATCAAGTCCTGCCAAGGGCAGAGCCAAGGTCATGATGACATCAGCACTTGCCCAGCCATGATGCTGGACAGGGAGGCGAGTCAGGATGAGGAACAGGGGCTTCATGTGGGGGATCATGGGAGTCTGTCTTTGTCCTTTTGTTCAGATGAAGCCAAAGAGGGTGGGGAAGAACCCACAAGGAGGAAGACCCTCTCTCCTTGGAGGCAGGAGACAGGAAGGAGAGGGGAGCAGCCCTGAAGGACACCGTTTCCATCCTGGGGGAGTGTCATTGGCCTCAGTCAGATGCTGCCAAGATATGGCAATAATCCCTGAGGCTCAGTATTGGGGCCTGGATGCTGGCTGTCTGTGCAAAGGACCTACAAGATGCTTAAACCACTGCACAGAAACCACTCACAACCCCGACTGTGGCCCCATGCTGTCTGCTGACCCCACCGAGCCATCTCCATCTCACTCAAGCGCTCCCCATTGCAGGAATGGGGGCTATGGAGAGGTGTCTGCCCAAATCCAGCACTGGAGACAGCCCGAGGTCACGTGACCACAGGAGCCTCACTGCCAGGAAGACCCTGGTGCCTAACTGCGCAGCGCCAGTGGGGACAGGTCTCCCTCCACTGGGGAGGAGGAGTGTGGATGGGGCCCGGGTCCAGGAGTCCCTACCCGACCAAAGTGAGACTTGAAGGTCTGGCGGATCTGCTGCCTCTGGGCATTGCTGCGGTGTGTGATGATATCGATGATGGTATCCTCGTCCGTTCCTGAAGCACCAAAGCCACATGCCTCAGGAGAAGGCTGTGGTCCAGCCTCCCCCGTACACCCTGCCTCCCATCCCCGCCTGGTGTCGGATGGAAGCTCGGCAGGCACCTCGCCCCTGGCTCCTGCCACTGACGACCTCCTCCCACCCCCACTGCCTCCTCCCTGCCTTTCTGTCATGCTGGGAAAAACGAACATGGTGTGGGGGAGTAGAGCACTAGGTTGGAGTCAGGGCCTCTGAGCTCTAGCCGTGACAAAGGCTGTCCACCTTAAGCAAGTCCCTTTCCCTTTCTGAGACTCGGTTTCCACATATGCAACATGAAGAGGCTGCAGCAGTTCCGAAGGGATCCTTCCAACCCTGACCACTGAGGTCCTACTGTTAGCAACCCCATGTCCTTTCCCTTTGCATCCCTGAAATCTGGACCCCCAGGTTCTCAAACCACCGCGGGTAGCTCGGGAAGGCATTAGGGTGCCACCTCCTGCCATCAGATGATGCCATCCACTTCTGACCTGGCCCGGGCTCTGCCTTCAGAACACTTTATCACCCGTGCTCCCACTGCCCTGGGCATGCTCGGGAGATGCTCTCATTCCCATAAAAGGCTCAGGGGGCAAGAGACTTGTCCCAAAGACTCTGGGAGATGCCAATGAACGGAGGGAGGAGAATGGTCAGGGGAGCAGACCCCAGATGCCACAGGTCCAGTTAGACACAGGGTCAAGACCATGCTCTTCCCCCTGGTGCCAAGTGAGCCCGGAAGGCCTGACCAGCAGGGGGTGCTCCCACCCCAGAATCAGGGCTCTTGGATGACAGGGTCCACAGCTCTCATCTTATACACAGGAAAACTGAGACCCAGAGGAGGTAAAAGGCTTGCCCAAAGTCACACGGCGAGTCAGCCGCAAAGCCAGGGCACCAAACCAGGTTTTATAATCTAGTACTTTCTTTCCCTGGAGGATACTGCGCCCAGGGGCGGGGGGGCACCTTGGTTTCTGGGAAGGGCTCTTGCCAAGGTCCCACAAACCCTCTTGTCTCTCTTTCCTCTCTCACGGATTCAGCAGGGTGGAGATAAGATCAAGTCCTCCCCATCCTGTGGCCTCCAGTCTGGGGCCTCACCCCGTCTCCTGCTCAGCCCACTGCCCCAGAGACCAGCCCTGCCCCTTCCGGCCCCCCTCACCAAGTCCCTTCATGGCTTTGCGCAGCGCTTTGGCATCTGCATCAGGATTGAAGTCCTCAGCTGGGCGAACGGTTCCCTTCAGCTGTGGGGACAGAGAGAGACTCAGCAGGTGCCCAAGGGTCCTAGGAACAGACCAAGAGGGTGCATGCGAGGGTGGAAGCTTCCCAGAGCCCAAACCAAGCAGCTGGTGGGGAGGCAGCACGGCAGACACACCTTGTGCTAGAGCGGAGAGAGACAGAGTGAGAGAAAGGAAGAGACAGGGAGAGGGACTCAGGCCTGGGAGTCCTCCGGCCAAGGGGAAGTGGCCAGCACTCAGCTGTCCTAGCTCCTTGCTCATTCCACTGGGGCCTTCTTAGTATTCCAGAATCCCACCTCCTCTTAAAAAGCCACCCCCGCCCAGACAAGACCACAGAAATGTTTTTGAAATACCAGAACAGTTACCCAAATTTCAGTCACTCCTGAATGACTTTCACAATGTTTTCAGCTTTGTGTCCCCGCCATGCGGTTTCTTAATAGCCTTACTTAGTTCGCCTTTCATGTTTGACTTAAATGCATCCATTTTGAAGTGCATTTAAATATTCCTAAAGGTCAAGGAATTGCATCCTTTTTGTCCTTTGATGTATCCCAAGTGCCCACTACAAGGCCTGACACATGGCAGGCACGTAAAACATATTTAAGTGAATTAATGGATGAGAATAATCATATATCACTAACATGGACTAGGACGTTGGTATCATGTGTCATAAACACACAATAGACCACAGAAATAATTATAACAAAGGTGAAAATCATGTGAAATATCATCAAGATGCCATTGCTTGCCCAAAGCTCTGAACTTAAAGCATTTGGCTCTCTTTTTGCGAAAAAGGCAACCCAGTGAGTGCTGTGAGACGTGGCCCCCAACAGAGACCATCTCTTGGCCGTCCTCAGAAAGGCAGATGAAACTGAAAAGGAGCGGCTCTCCCCCTCACTCTTGGGGCTCAGTGACCCTAGGTCCCACGAAGGCCCTGCCCACCGAACAAAGTTCATTTCTCACGTCACTTAAGACCACCGGCAGTGCCAGCTCTTGTCTTATAATCTGAGGAATGCTGTTCTAGAGCATCAGAGCTCAGGAGCCTGCAGAGGTCCCCAGGATTGCTGTGTCTAACCCCTCATTTCAAAGACGGAGACACAGAAGCCCCAAGAGAGGGGTCCTGCCAAATATCACACAGCAAGCAAGTGACAGAGAGACTCAGAGTTCCAAACTTTTTTGTGTGGACCAGTGTGAACGTCTCTGGAATGCTTTGCCCCAATGCTTCTGCAAAACCTTTCAACCCCTCCACTGTGGATCCCAGGCTGAGGAGGCTCAGGAGGACATCCCTGAATCCAGTGCACCCGGAGTGCCCGCCTGTCCTTAGTGTTCATGCCCCGGAAGCCACCTGTTGGGTCCAGGGTGGGACAGGCCCCTCCGTGGGACTCACCAGGTCCCCCTTCAGCAGCCCCGTTATTAGTTAGTGGGCAAGACATTTCCTGGCGTGTTAGAAGCCAAGGCAGGAGCCAGGTGCCCCACCAGAGCGCCTGCCCGACTGCACTTCCAGGGAGAGGAAGTGGCAGGGGTGAGAGCCCACGGGCGGGCCGCCAGGGGGCAGCTGGGTGCCAACCAGAGCAGCAGGAAGGTGCGAGCAGAAGAGAAGCTTGTGGTCAGGAAGGCAGGAGGGCAGGAGGCCGAGGGCAGGAGGGCGGGTCTGACCTCGACTCGGGCCACTGCACTAAGTTCCCACATCTGATAGGCCACCTGCGCTGCCTCCGGGAAGAACTGGCCAGCAGCACTGGAACGGAGGGGTGGGGAGAGGGCGGCACGTCACTGTGGGCAGCAATCCGCACACACACAACACACACAAGACGCTCACACACAGCACACGTACACAGCAAATACACCAAAATACACACAATACACACGCACACAGAACACACATACCACACACAAAAAACACCTAACACACATACAAAAACACCCACACAACACACATGCACACAGAACACACCAACACACATGCACACCAACACGCACACAACACACCAACACACCCAATACATACCAACACACACATACAAAACACCCCAACACACACACCACACACACACCCCAACACACATACACAAAACACCTCAACACACCCCAACACACACACACACACACACACACACACACAAACACTCACACCCTGAGCTTTACTTTTTCTCCAGCCTACACCTCATCCACTCACCCTGTCTCCCTTCCACTCCTGGAACCTTCCCTCTCCACCCCTGCACTGCTGGGCCTTCTCAGTAGCCTTCCCGGCCCCAGGGCCCGGGAAGACCAGGATTTCTCCAATCCTTCGACTCCCTCCTCTTCCTCAGAATCAGAGTGACTCCTGTCCAAGTCTCACCTCAGCCACTGAGCAGGTGACAGCCCTGCCCACCCTGCCTCTCCTCCTCAGGGGGCCTGGACATGGCAGGAGCCAGTGCTCGTCCCCCGTGGCCTCACCAGGGGTTAGCGAGAGTCCTCGTGTTCCTTCCCTCACTGGATCCTGACCACCCTACGGAATGGGAATCGGAGCACGCTAGTTCCCTTCCTAGAACACAAATCTGGTCAAGTCGTGGCCTAGCTTAATACTCCCGGAAGAGGCCCCAGCCCTGCCCACCTCTCAGCCTCATTTCTCTCCCCAGTACTCCGGGACAGCGTGACCTCGGTCACATAAATGAGCCAGGCTGTCCCTCACCTCTAGGCCTCTCCACGGGCGATTGACTCCCCACCAAAACACGGGCACCAGGTCTCTCTGCACCTAGCCTCCCCTCCTCCTTGGGTCTCACGACCTCCAAAAAGCTTCCCCCAGCCTGGGCCATGTACCTGCACGTGTTGTTTCACAGACTTCTCTCGTTGACTCTCCCTCTGGCAAAGCGGTCTCCATGCCGCTCTAGGCTGTGGGCTCCATCCAGGGCCCCTCACAGGGCCTGCACCAGGGGGCACTTACTTCAAATGAGCTGCATCAATGAGCAGCCAGGGTAGGGGTTTGTCTTCCTCCCATTTAACAGATGATGAAACTGAGAAACAGCCATGAAGTAGCGGGGCCTGGACCCTCACCTTCTGACTCTTGGTCACAAAACCCAGACTAACTGTCCAGGTTCGCTCCAGACACACAGACATTTCCACTTACAGGAGACCACACTCATGTCCAGACACACAGACACTCAGACACAGCGACAGGGTCAGATATGGGAGGCCATGCTCATGTCTAGATACACAGACACTCAAACATGCAGCCATCTTCACGTATAGGAGGCCACGTTCAAGTCCAGACACACAGACATGACCGTGCACAGGAGGCCACGCCCCTGCACAGACACTCAGGCCCAGAGACACACTCGCACAACAGGAACTGGCCCGGGCCACCCTTCACCCACGGTGAGCTCCTGGCTCCTCCAGTTCATCCATCGAGATCTGAGCCAGGAGTCCAAGCCTCCAGCCCAAGGCCCTGCTCCAGCTGGAGCCAAGCACCCACTCACTCGTCATCTCCCCCGCACAGCTTCAGCAGAGCCTGCTTGTACTCGCCGGAGGTGTCGTTCTGGAGAAAGGAAGGAGAGAAGGAAGGTGGTTCTCACCCGCCTGGGCTCCTCTAGAAAAGGAGGGAAGGTTCTGACAGCCCAGAGCAGGAGGCGCTGAGCAAACACTGCTCACGGCAGCCCCGACCCTCCGACAGCGCTGGATGGGTCAGCAGTCAGCAGCCGGCTCTCGGGACAGACGGCATGCCCTGACATGTAGCATGTGCCAGAGCCTGCCATGTAAATCCTTCCAACAGTGGACAACGTCCAGTTCCCAGCATGAGTGTGGAGCTGAGGAGACGCTCCGTCTCCCCCGAGTCATCGAGTCGAGGTGGCCCACACGCCCCAGTCACCAGCCAGAGCCCAGCCAGCCCACCCAAGTGAAATACTTCACACAAACAGGCTTCCGCGGACCAAAACCCTGGGGGATGCCAAAGTCAGACAGACATCTGACAGATGCACACACGAATACAGGAGGGACACTCCACATTCCCCAAAGTTCCTCACGACTTCAGCATGTCAAGGGTTGTGAGATGCTCGGAGGCAAAGAAGCTGACTGATCCTTGCCTTCTCTAGTTTTTCGACATTCAATTTCCCATAGGACATGTGGTGCATAAGATCTATAAAAATTCCTCTTAGAAACACACTTCAGCCGGGCTCGGTGGCTCAGCCTGTAATCCCGTGCCTTTGGGAGGCTGAGGTGAGTGGATTGCCTGAGCCCGCGGTTCGAGACCCGCCTGGGCAACTTGGTGAGACCTCATCTCTAT